GTTCTCTTTTCTCCTTTTTTACACAGATGGTAGCATGTTTAATCACACTCTATATTCCAGAGGATGTTTCGTATCAGTGTATCAGATAACCACTTTCCTTTCTTTTTTGGCTGTGTAGATTCTAATTTCCTTGGAGCAGTCCCCTAACAACGGACATTTGGTTTCTTTCCAGTCTGTTGCTCTTACAGACATTACATTAAGTAACAAGCACATGTATATGCTGGACAGTTTTGTTTCCTGCTTTTAAAATTAAAATAGGATTATTTTTCCCATGTTAAAATACCTTGAGGCTGATTTTTTAAAAATAAGATTTTATTTATTTGACACAGAGAGCACAAGCAGGGGGAGTGGCAGAGGGAGAGGGAGAAGCAGCAGGGAGCCTGATGTGGGGCTCGATCCTGGAACCCTGGGATCATGACCTGAGCCGGAGGCAGACGGTTAACCGACTGAGCCACCCAGGCGCCCCGAGGCTGATTTTTAATGTCTGCATTAATGACTCCTCATAACCCTCTATTTCTAAATTTTACTTTAAGATGACTCAAGCCTCACCTATTCTCTAAAGTCTGAACATGCTTACATTTAGTAGTCATTGTGTTTCCTGTGTGTTGTGGTAGAACTGGCAGCTTTTCACCTGGAGTCTTCTTATTGGGAAGCATCTCTTCTGTGCAGAATGTTGGCTGCAGTTTTCTTCTAATTCTCCAGGGGTCTCTGGACCTGAAAGGGTTGAGAGCCAGTGCACTTGAGATAGTGCAAGCTTTTGGATCAGGGGTTGCCTTGTTTTGTGTTCTCTCCTTGCAGCACAGAACTTGGTAGGGTGAGGCCGCAGCAGCCCGTGAGACTTGGTATTTGATGCAGTGACATACGGCTGGTCCTGTCCTAAGTCTGTCTGCATCCTCAGGCCACAGATTATGTGGGCCTGTTCTCCTGCCACAGATCATTGGGTCAGCAGCCATCTGAGAGGGACCCTGCTTGTGTTGCCAACCTTTGTTATTAAGGCAGACTGGAAGGCAGGCCCCTTTTTAACCTATTCTTTACCTAGTTGGGACATTTATAGGCCAGGAGTTTTCAGCCCTTTTGTGAAAAGGAGCTGATAGATTTTTTTCTTTTAAACATTTACTTTCTTTTTTTGTGTTCTGATTATAAAAGTAATATTCACTGGGACACCTGGCTGGCTCAGTCAGTGGAGCATGTGACTCTTAATCTTGGGATGGTGAGTTCAAGCCCCATGTTGGGTGTAGAGTTTACTTAAAAATAAAAAGTAAAAAAAGTAATATTTACTGTAGTACATAATTGAATATTTAAAAAACAGAATGCATTCATTACCACCCCCCAGAGATGGCCACTATTAAGTCATTTTTGATCTACAAAACAGTAATTTCATATGGTTTAACCTGATAACATTGTGTTTTTTCTTTTTTTTAAAATTTTATTTATTTGTCAGAGAGAGAGAGACAGAGGCAGGCAGAGGAAGCAGGCTCCTTGTGGGACTCGATCCCAGGACCCTTGGATCATGACCTGAGCTGAAGGCAGACGCTTAACTGACTGAGACACCCAGGCGTCCCCATTGTTTTTTTTTTTTGTATGCGTATATATATTATAGTGGCTATTTTTATATATATGAAGACATTTTATGGGTATGTTTCTGTATCTTGCTTTTTCTTTTAACATTAGATCTTGAGTTTTCCCCGCAAATAAAAAAAAATGTATTTTGAATGCTTGCATAATATCTCTTAGGCAGCTGGTGTGCTAATTGATTGCTCCTACTGTTGGACATAAAGGTTGCTTCCGTTTTTTACTCCTGTGAATAAAGTTAGCATAGCCAGTTTCATAAGTGAGTCTTTGCCCTGTTCTTTTTTAATTATTTCCTTAGGATGAGTCCCCATGTGTTTATTAGCCATATATATTTCTTTTGTGAATTGTCCAATTGCTCTGTCCATTTTTAATGAGGTTTTAATGTTTTTCTTTATGTATCATCTCTCCGTTTCAGCCAGTTACAGCATGGCATATCCTTCCCCCCCCCTTCCCCCCCAATCCAGGAAATGCTTCTTTATTCAGCTACAGGGTGTTGTAAGAGGAAGTCTGGTGGCACTGTGGAAAAGAGCAGTGGACAGGGAGTCAGGATACCTGGGTTCTGGTCCCAAGCTTGGTCTCTGGCCTCTGTGGTCTTGGGCCACAGTTTTTTGTCCTCTGTTTTTAAATTTATAATGGCTCTAAGGATTCTCCTAGCTCTAAAATAAAGAACTGTTTTTTCTTTTTTGAAGATTTTATTTGAGAGGGGGAGAAAGAGCACGAGCAGGGGGAAGGGGTAGAGGGAGAGGGAGAAATAGGCTCCCCTCCGAGTAGGGAGCCCGATGCCGAACCTCGATCCCTCGACCCTGGGATCATGACCTGACTGAAGGCAGACGCTCAACCAACTGAGCCACCCAGATGCCCCAAGCAAGTTTTCTGTGAGAAGCAGATGATTGCTGCTTTTAAGTGGTTTTGGTTGACTTTAGTGGGAAGTCAGTGGCTGGCTTGAGAATAATAGTGTGTATCTAGTAAATGCACATTATTTTGCTGTTTCAGAAAAATACTTTCATGTATAACACAGTGCTATGAGTATAGATGCCTAATAGATTATCTTGTGTGTGTGTGTGCGTATGCGCGTGTGTGTGCGTGCGCGTGTTTTGAGTTGATTTGTATGCATCCGGATCCAAACAAGATCTATACATTGCAGTTGGTAAATTATGACTTTAAAATCTCTTTTAAAATATAACAGGGGCACCTGGGTGGCTCAGTTGGTTAAGCGGCCAACTTTTGATCTCAGCTCAGGTCTTGATCTCAGAGTCATGAGTTCAAGTCCTGCATTAGGCTCCATGCTGGGTGTGGAGGCTACTTAAAAATAAATAAATAAATAAATAAATGTAACAAATTACCCTTCTTTATGCTATTAGTTTGTTAAAGAAACTGGGTCATTGTTCTCTAGAATTTAGGAGCTATTTGTGTCCCTATTTTAAAAATATAAATATTGCTAATTCAGTGCCTGGTACACAGAATTCCTTCAGTATATTTTTTTTGGATGAGGAAGTAAATTGGGCACCTCGAAAATCAGGCTTTCACTTTTTGATGCTTTTTTCTACGTAGAATGCCACTTTGGTCACTGAAGTGCTTCTGCTCTTTCCATCTTCTTTCCAAAAATAATGATAATGGCACTGTTTATGCTAGAACTGGCAGGGAGCCAGATTGGTCTGAGTTTAAGTTGACTATGCATATGATGGCAGTCTCATTCTGCAGAACACCTTTTACTTAAGTCCGTGGATTTCTTGCCTCCTTCCCTGGCTGTTCCTTTGGCACATCAGCCCTGCAAGGGCACTAAGTGCACAGTGAAGCCTGCCCTGTCTTAGGAGAGTGCAGTTCGGTAGGCATTAGAGAAATTACATTCATGGAAATTCTAAGCACCAAGAAAATACTTCTGGGGGTGGTGATGGGAAAAAATGGGCAAGTGGGGGAAGGAATAGAATTGGAAAGCAAATAGGATGAAATATATGTAATAATTTTCT